CTAAACTACAACTATGACTAAATATTTATCATGATAAATATGTAAATATTGTAACAGTAACAAGGTTAAAAGGATGGACGACAAATTATTGTCTTAAATTTTTTTGACTTAGGTTAAAAATAAAATTTAAAGAATAAATAGTCTATGTTTTAATGGTCAAAATAATATTATTAGTTTTAAATAATTAATGCCTAGAGTCTAAATATATAATTGTCAGCCTAAAGCACTAAGGGACTAAGGCCAAGGCTGAAATTAAAGGTGTCTCATGAATTTAAACTAATAATTATAATAATTAATTAATTAATATTTATAATTTATGAGAACAAAGACTAGGAGACTAGGACTTCTGTCTCTGTACTCTAGTCCTTAAGTCAAGTAAAAGTCTAAGTCACTAAGTCTAACTAAAACTAGTAAAACCTACTACAATTGACTGAATTGACAAGTCTCCAATTACTGTCACTATCGTACTTACACATTTACATTACTAATTACTTATAGTTATAGTCTTAAGTCAACTTAGAATTCTAAGTGTCAAAGTAAGTTAAGTTAGATTCGGCAAATGTAAAGCATGCATGCCACAGCGTCATTTGCTTGTTTATTATAGTTGCAGTGAATTAGGGTTTAGGTTAGGCATAGGCATCGATTTATGATTTAAATTTATGGTTCAGGTTAGGCATAGGGATTGATTTAAGTTTAAGGTTTAGAGTTTAGGTTAGGCATAGGGATCGATTTAGGGCATTAGTCGCGGCCATCGATAATAGTGGCATTCGTCCTTTACATTTACCTTAGATTCCGCTAAAATGCATTTAGTTCAGCTGTTAGTTTGGTGGCTTAGAAACTGTTAAGTCCACTAATATTTATTAGTAATAATAAACTAACAAAAGTCAATTAGAATTGTTAACTTAATTTACAGCTAAAGCGTCTGATATACCTAATTACTATCAATAATACTTATAAGAATGAACTTACTCTTTTCTGCAAAACTCTCAACATTTTTTTCTTTTTTTGTAGCAGACAAAATTTGATATTTCAAGGTTAGAATTAAAACGTGGTGTGAAACTTCTGACCTTCCTCCTGATTTACAACCATGCCTATGATAATTATTCAATGAGAGTAGTGTCCCATTTTATGAAACCCGTGGTATATTAAAGGTTCTCAAGTTTAGTTATATCCAGTTAGATCCTGGTGGCACAAACGTTCACTGGTTTCAACTTACTTATTGTATTTAACTGTGTTCTGTAACTTTGATTATAAAACTGGTTCGATCTCTGTCAAATTTTTATTTTCCATTCAGTTTCAGTGTCATGACCTGTGAGGGCCTCATTCGGAAATTTGTGGACATTACGGTCATCCTTCACAGAGACAGCCTACTCAACCCCGCCTACTTTAAATTTAAACCTACTGACAGCCACAACTATTTACTCTTCTTCCCACCTTAAATCCTGTAAGGATTCTATTACCTTTTCACAAAGACCTCGTCGACTTTGCCAGTCTGATGATGACCTTTGGGACAAGGCACTTGCGATGATTGACTATTTCCGATGAAGTCCTACCCGGAGACAGTATACCATTTTCAGCCCTTCAACGGGTTCAAAATAGTACGCGTGATGGTGCCTTTAGGTCTGCTGTTCAGGTCTCGTCAGAGTGACATTGTCGACAGGACCAAACTTATTCTCACATATCCACCTCACAGTCTCATACCAAACATAATATTTTACTTAAAACCGTACCATTCTTTTCACCGACCCCGAAACCTACAATATTTTCGCTGCCTCGCCTCTCATTGTTTTCAGAAGAGAAAAAAAAAATACTTGTGCGTATAAACACTGCCCCCTACAGAGTTTAAGGCAACCCTGCAGGGGGGGGGGGCACTCCAGTCCAGAAACAATTCAAGTAAACCCCTCCGAGAGAAAATTTGTACAACAATAACACAAAAATATATTTTATCAAATTAAAAAAAGCAACAACTAAATTTTCCTTTTTTATAAAATTTAAAAAAATGTAAATGGTGGCTTGAACCGAATACAATTATTTGAACTATGAAACATTGCTACGCTCGATATAATTGATGATCCGTAAATTTAAGGCTAATCTTGTTAGGGGCTTACACTATTTGATTATAAAAATAGTACTGTTTGCCACTCCTGATTATAATTATAAGCCGAAACTTAAATCCCGTTGTTTGCACATGTCAGTGTTTTTATTTATTTATTTTTTGCAAATTAACCAGTTCAAGGACTTAAATAACAATGTATGAAACTACCTTTACATTAATAAACAGTTCTATAATATTAATATAATTCTTGCTAAATACCGTATCAAACAAGTGCAATCTGTTTTCAAAATATATTTCATCACGAACGAATGACTTTTAAATAAGGGATTTAAAGTGTATTATGACCTCATGCTTTAAATATATAGCTATTAGCAAAATTGACAATGTACTCGATTCCATGCTAACCTTAGCAAATTGATAATTTTAAAAAAAAATGAAGAATTTAACGAGCGCATAAAAATAGTGCACGTTTCACCAATTATTATTTAAGCGAAAGCGTTTGAGTTTTCTTTAAATGTATTACTTTTGTAACACAATGGCTAGAAAAAACAGGGGTTAAAAAATACTTAGCGTGTTTATTAAACTAACAACTGCTGTTCCCTTTTTAATAGCAGCCGTTTCAATTTGAAACTTGCCATTTTGTCATTCAGACTCAACACATTCCCTTCTCCAAGGTTAGTTTTCAGATAAAGGACTGTTTCCTTTGTAGTAGCCACAATGTTGTCTACGCCATTGTTTGTACCCACTGCCAGATGGCGTATCTAGGACGGTGCCTTTCAGACAGATATGTTGAACACCTTCGAAATATTTCGAGAGGTAAGGTGTCCAAACTTAGCACATTTCAATAGAAGTAACCACAATGGATTTTACTATCAGCGCCATTGTGTCTTGTGCCCAACCGGGTGAACTTGGAAAACAAGCTGATTCAGACTTATGGGACCTTGACACCACATGACATGAATGTCATGTTCTCATTCACCTGTTAAACCTTTTTGACCCCCTCCTCATTACAAACAATCGTATTGGACCTACTTTTCATCTCTTTCGTATCATTTTGTCTGTATTAATTCTCTCATCTACTTATGTTCTATCACATTCCTCTTGATGTCATATCGGATACTAAATTGCAGCTACGTTTTTATTTTAATTTTTATACTGTTTTTACTGTTGTTTGTTCGTTGAAGAAGGCTTTTTGCCGACAAATGCGTTGTTTTGTTGCATCCATTTTTCAGTGTTTCCCATACTTTGTCCTTTAAATGTCTTCCCTTATTTCCTTGAACTTGACATGACTTAATATTAATAAGTAGGCATATCATTTTTAAAATTCTTTTAAACTAAAACTAGTATATGCCTATATATTTCTGTGCATTTATTTTATTGAAAAAGCATTTAAATATTTAATGATAACATTTGGGTTTTTCTTTTTACATGAGAATCATTGAGAGTGTTTAATATATTTTTTTTAAATTTTTTTTATTTAAATGATTCGGTTTCATTACCTTTAAAATTGAATGAGAACCACTGGCGTAAAAAAATATAGCCCCCGCATGCGCAATACCATGGCGAGAGCTACGAAGACGCCATGTTTGTACATATTTCAACCTAATTTGATCACACTTACAATATTTTGAATTCGTATTTTGAATGAGTAAGGTAGTTGTTTTAATTATTTGACATACATGGGTTTAAAAAAAAATAGACTAAATATTTTTAAGCAGCGAAGTGTAATTAGAAATTTTTTAATTGATAAACATTTAGCTTATTTGATCAGCTCGTAAAACAGAACGGTTTTTTTTAAAAAAAAATGAGATCAATGGAACTGTAGTTAGGTAAAAAATCTAACTTGAAATCAATCCAGCATGTTGAATATTTCAACCCATTAATCTATCCCTATCAAAATTATAAGTTACATCTAGGCCAGCCTGTAGGACTAGGAAGCTCTGTCAAATTAAAATCAAACCACAAATAACCATACCGGCCCAAAAGAGTAGTCATAAATAATAAATGACACCTAGGTCTAGGTCATTCAAATTGTTTCGTCAGTTCAGTTTCTAAACAAAAGTTAGCCCTAATTCAAGATTCAATGACATTTCATTCATTTATTTAAATTTATTTTCATTTCATTTTGAGTAATTTGGGCTTGGCAATTCTGAATGTAATAGTCTAATAGTAATAGCATTGACGGCATTGTCATTGTATTATTTTTTTTATTTGTATGTATATATTATAATAAATTAATACATTTTAATTTAAATACAATGACAGTATGAGTTTGGGGCATTATCATTAACGGATGATTACCATTATTCTTATAACACTGCTAGTAGTAGTATTAGTATTAGGGATAATTAGTCTTTTTAATATTATAGTATAATATAATTATAGGACTATCTACTAAAACTAATACAAATACAGGGAGCTCAATCTTGTAATAAATTAGAGCGACTGTGTAGACTAAAGCCGATAATTGAATTACTCAAGAGCTTGGGCATTAACTTTAATTTAATTCACTGTAGTTGAACTAAAATTGAATAATGATAATGGTTTTTGTTTGATGAAGACAAATAATGATTAGAATGTCTTTGTGTTAGAAACTGGAAAATCTCAACATAAATATATGAAAAATCAAAATGTAACAAAATAATTAAAATCTCAATCATTATTGTTGCAGAATCAAGGTAGCAGAATATTTCAAAGGAAGAAATGTCTCAAAATCCCTGAAACTTTATACAAATAATTTGTTTAACAAATACCAGAGTATGTTATGAAGAAAGAGAAATAAGTTCAAGAAGAATAAACTGGAAATTGAAGCACTCACAGCAACCGTGCAAATTAAATGTATATTCTTGACACATCAAATCAAATTTTAAAATGTAATCCATTGGTGGGCTATAAGTTCTCAAGATTTCCAAATTAAATAAGAAAATTCAGCTGATAATTAAGTATGGAAAAACACCACGAGGAAAGCTGTTTGACTCAGATGTCATCTCATTCTGAAGAGCTGACTTCAACAACGCAGCTGGATGTTTCAGAAACATTTATAACCATAGAAACAAAAGATGGCCTGAGTTCAGAAAAGATTCCATTTTCTCAATTTTTAAAGAAGGTTATAATAGACAAGGAATCTGGGAATTTGAAAATTGATCTTGGTCAACTTTTAGCCCAGAATAGCTCTACAAATCTAATACAAGCAGCTGCAGGCAATGGTAGCAAAAGTTTATCTAGTGTTTTGCACCTTATGAGTAACACTGACAGTAAAGTTGCTTCAACTTCAACGACTTTTGACTCACAGCCATTAAAAGAGTCAGAAGTTTTTATTTCTGACAAGCCTGTGAAAAAAAGAGGTAGGCCGCGAAAGCAGAGATCAATGGATGTGTCATCACCCAATACATTGAATGTAACAAAATTACTAAACACCAATGTTCATTCATTAAACTCATCAAAAGCCTGCATCAACTCAGACACATCTACTAATCCGCCTAGGCAAGATTTTACAGGGGCCCTGAGGAGATCCAGTCGAACTCCAGCAAAAAACCTCAGATTTGGAGATGACTACGTGGACAGTATAACTTTTGGAAAAGTGTCATCCTCTTCATCCTTATCGACCCCAGCTTGGAATACGCAGCTAATGACACTGGCACTTGCTGCAGAGAGGCATAAGAATAAGCCAAACAAATCCAACTCCAGCAGAGAGAGAAATGATGAGAAAATTGACTTGGTTCATGAGGAAGGTATGCATTATGATGACAGTGATTACAACCCACGATCATCTGATAAAGATGAAGACAGCAGTGAGGCTGAAGTAAATACTTCGGAGAAATTCAAGCAAGTAAGCCAGAAACGTTTCATTAGTATCAGCGATGTGGAGATTCATGGAAATCCAGGTGTAAAGTCTGAAGAGAAAGGAAAGAAATTTAGCATCAGGGGTCCTAAGACATTGAAAAAGTATGAAGCTGTGGAACCAGTTGTCAAAAGAACTTTGCAAGAAGCTCTAAGTCATGTCTTGGAAACAACTAAAAATCATTTATTTATTACAAAACCCAAAGCAGATGAACATGAGAACACTAATACCGCTGCTTATTATACCATCATGGAGCCCAAAATGGCTTCCTTTGGTCATGGATTGCTCATTGAGAAATCAGAAGAAGATGTTAGTTTTAGAATAGTACAATTTGATGGGGCCTTACCAAATGGCTTAAATCAGTTTTCAAAATCTTATCCTCAGGATCGTTTTTTCAGCTGTGATATATGTGAAAAAATATTTCCATCCACCAGCATCTGGCTGCAACATAACAGGTACACACACAATAGGACAATTAACACATTTGAGAATCTTCCACATAGTTCAGGCAATAGGGAAGAACATGTCTGTCAGTTTTGTTGCCAGAGATTTCCATACAAATTTATGCTGGACATACATATTAAACGTAAACGTCACAGCGATGTAAAAAGTTTCAGGTGCACCCTGTGTCGAGAAGGATTCACAACGCATAAAGATAGAGAAGAGCATTGGATGATGTCACATCCTGCCCGCAGCTGTGCTTTGTGTGGGAAACAGTTTACCAACATTGTTATGCTCCGCCGGCACATAAACAATAACTGCCATGGGGCAAGGTTCAGAAAACGTCCAGACACAGTGGAGATGAGCGCGGAAGATAACATGGTCATCTCTGATTTGAGAGTAAAGTCTTCTGTGGAGGAAATTCATGAAAATGACAGTGATGAAGAAAATCCAGATATTACTCCCAGGGAGACAGAAGCAGAGGATGAGGAAGATGAAAATGATGAAGACTATGAATGCTCAAAACATTTCAATGAAAAAGTAAAATGCAGCACTTGTGGCATAGAATTTTCAACATTCTCTGGGCTCTGGCACCATAAGCTTGAGAGCCACAAAGAATTCTATCCCGAAGGGTTGAAGGAAATACTGCAAGATAAACTAAAGAGAAATCAAAGTATGTTACTTAATGCACATGAGGCAGAAACCCAAAAGATCTCCGATCAAAACAAAAATAGGTTTTTTGTTATAATGCGCCCTGAATGGCCACCAGAAAAGCCAAATTTGACCGTTAGTATAGAGGATAAAGAATTTGTTTTCAAATCAAGAACCGTGTCTGCAAAATCAATCACTGTCGATGCACTCCCTCAAAACAGCTATGATGATGCGCCTTTTCAGAAAGAAACCACTTTTGAATGTGTAGAGTGTGGGGAAATATTTCAGTTTGCCAGTAACTACAGAGAGCACAGAAGCAGAGTGCATGGGGAGTGCTTTGAAATTCTCAGGCTGCTTGGTGCTTTCCAGTGTACGCTGTGCTCAGAAACATATCCCTGCCAGTTTATGCTGGATAAACATATGAAGAGACATGTTGGCAAAAAAATTTTGCCTTGTACTTTATGCGGTGTGTACTTTCATAAAATCCAGGACAGGAGATTGCATTGGAAAACTGTCCACCCTGGGATTGGTTGTCCCAACTGTGGAAAGATGTATGCCAGTATCAAATACTTGCAGAAGCACATTTCTCTCAACTGCCAGGATCACTTCCCACCTACAAAAAAGTTTCTGGAGTTTCAGAAGAAACAGCACAGCGACTTTGAGATGAGCAAAAACGAGAAAAAGGTTGAAAAAAAGATAATTCGATGCCACTTATGTCCGAAAATGTGCAGCTCTATTCACGGATGGCGCAGGCACATGTCCGAAACTCATGAGGATGCTGGATTTTCAAAGCTCTCCAACACTTGTATCATCTGCAATGAGCTGGTTTATGGGTATAAAGCTTTAGAGAAACACTTGCTTCAAAACCATGCTGAAGACTCTGGTTTACCTGTTGAGGAAGAGGAGGGTCTAGTTGAAGAGGCTCTGAAAAAAAGTGAGATGGATATCGCAATGTATAGGAAAGCAGGGGCTTCTAGCACTGATATATACCAAGACGAGGAAGGAAATTACCACTGTCCCTCATGCTCCAAGACACACACAGATGTCAGGGCACTGAGGACCCACATCAAGACCCACATTAACATGAAACTGGAGTGCACCATCTGCAATAAAAATTTCAAAAATCCTACCCTTCTCAAACAGCACGTCCAGCGCCACCGCAAGGATGCCGTTTACATGTGTGACACTTGCAATAAAAAGTTTCTCACCCTTCAGAAGTTGAATAAACACCGCAAGGTCCACCACAGCAGTGGTAACTTTGTCTGTGAACTCTGTGGCATGTCATTCGCTCTCAACGATTACCTTCAGAAGCACAAACGATGTCATTCTGACAAACGGCCGCACTGTTGTACCATCTGTGGCAAGAACTTCCGCACCAAACCTGAACTGCGCGTGCATGTCCTGATTCACACAAGAGAAACGCCTTACAAATGTCAGTATTGCAACCGTGGATTTTCTCAAAGGGGGAACTACCGTGTTCATTTGGCGCAGCACACAGGAGAAAAACCATACCAGTGTGAGCAGTGTGATATTTCATTTGCTCTTTTATGCCATCTCAAACGCCATAAGATCACACATGACCAGAAGATTAATTATCGCTGCATCTGGTGTGAGAAGGAGTGCACGCAGAGAAAACACATGCAGCTCCACGTCCAAAGGGTCCACAAAGAAGACTTTTATCAGTATGAAGAACAAATGAAGCTCGAAACACCTGTTCCTATTCATCCCTCTCAGACAAAGCTGTACAACCGGAAGCTGGGAAAGGCGAGCAAGGTCCGCAGACAGTACCGAACAAGGGCCCAAAAATGTGACGCAACCATCCAGCAACTCATGAATGGCGTGATAACAAAGTCTGAGGTTTTGGAAGAGGACATGGAGACCTCCGAGGACATTGTTATTGAGCCTATGGTGGAACAAATGATGAAGACATCACATGAGAGCGGGGGCTATGAGATACTGGTCAGCGAAGACCACCAAAACTATGCCAAACACACACTGTCTGCTGAGCTGATTGGTCAGGATGCCTCTAATGTTGAGATTGTAATGGGTGAAAACAACGAGATAAACATTATTATCAAAGACCCCAGTGCTCTCCGTGATGTGGTGGGCGACCACCTAGAGGTCGGATCCGTTCAGATTCATGACAGTCTCCAGCAGGCTGTTGAAGCTTTTGTCCATCATAACAGCCACGTTCAAGATGAGGAGGGTCATGATTCCCTTGGCATTGAAGATTTAGACAAAAGTACATAGTAATGTCACTTGGTATAAAATTTGCTAATTTCTGCATATTTTGATACTGATCATGTTTTGTTAGTAAAGACAAAATTACATAGTGATGTCACTTGGTATAAAATTTGCTCATTTCTGCCATATTTTGACGATGCAGGTACCGGTACTCATCATGTATTGTTAGTAATCCATAAAATTGTTAAGCCCCCCACTATCTGTAATTTATTTAGCATTTTATCTAGTTGTACAATATAGTTAAGAAGAGTTAAATGTATTTATCCATTGATTAATTCACCTGCTTTTCTTCTGAATTTCTGTATTAGTTATGTGTAAACATGTTATTTGTCATACATGGATTATGTATGCCAGTACGGGGGTATCAAAGTTTCAAAGCAACTGTTACCGGTATATCAAGATAAGACAAAATGTCATCTTTCCCTTTTTTCCGCCAGTTTTTTTTTTTTCTTCAAAAAAGACAGCTGGTTCTTTCAACATCTGCTATTTGTGCAAATGTGCATATGTCTTACATGCAAAAAATAGTCCAATACAATTTATATAATATGATTTATATTTAATTCTATTAGATATTTCAATGAGAAGTCCCAAATCTTTTTGCATTGAAGGGAAACCTTGAAAAGCAAAGTAAGATTGCTGAAAAAAAAACTATTTGTAAAAACACTCATGTTTATAATTTATACTGATTGTATTTTGTGTTGAATCTGTTGCACAGTTGATGGTCAAAAAAATTAAAGAAAATATTCAACTAGTCTATACATGGATTTATTTTTGCACATACTTTAACTTTAGTTAACATCTGAAACTGAATGCATGAAAAGTAAAATTAACTGTTTAAGTAGAAACAGGAAAGTCTGTGGAGTAAAATATCAGTACTGGATGCAGAGCGCTTGTATGTTAAAGTTAAAGTTTTGTAATGTTATCTTTTGTTTTCAAAATCATATCCATGTAAGCACAGTCTAACAAGTCAGCTTGACTTATTTCCAATGCCTCCATTACCCCTTCTGCTATGTGCTGACCATACTCCGTAGTTTGGCCATCTTCAAGTATAACCTGTGGAGAGAAACGAGACTGTTGGTTATAATCCAACAATTGTAGGTTCAGAATTCATTTATATTTTCCGAATTCTTAGTTAACAATAAAAGTTGTGTACAGGAATATATTTTAATGTAAGACTGTTTGGTTTTACTGAGTACTTTATAAACATTAAACATGCTGGATTTCTTTGGTCAAACCTTAACCCTGGTATTAGAATTGTTAAGATGTGATGATGACAATTTTTCATTGGTCAAATTAAATAACTGAAGATGAATTTTAAAAAAGTTGTCGGCCAATCTTTATGGTTTATGTACCTCCAGCTCCATGAAGTGCCCGAGACCTTCTACATCATCCAGGTGTATTCTCGTCTGTCCCAGCATCACCAGAAGGCGTGTTTTTCTCACAGTTCCCATGATTCCCAGTGCTGCCGACAGTACCGTCTGTGGAGATCATTAAAACCAATCATGTAACTATTGTAGCTTGGTTGAAGACATAAGTATATGAGGGAGCAGATCTAAGCACTGGAAGAGATTTGCCTTCAGTTAATAGGGAGTCAGTGTTACATATCAGAAAGCGTAGAAAGCAGTCATCGGAGCTCTCGTTATAGGGTGCAATGAGTGTTTGTGTCCATTAAAAAAAAAATTGTTTAGGTTCTCTTAGAGTCAGGGCTGTGGCAAGCAAAAGCTGCGCCCGGAGTAAAGACTGGGTTTACGCTGCCTTCCCCAAAAGTTTATATTTATGGGCTTTGGAGATGTCGCCTTGGACTGGTGTTTCACCCCCCCCCCCCCCCCCCCCCCTTTTTTTGTGTGTTGCGCGGGTTGCTTATGCTCAGTTCACACTTAGTAAAACAAACTGAAGCAAATTTGACGAAACTTTGGTCGTGTGAACTGAGCATTACACTACTTACAGCACCCTAAGGTGTTTTTAAAAAACAAATAATGCTACCAAAATTGAGTGAAGGCCCTGAGATGCCACACATAATGTTGTAAACCCTTTTACAAATTTGGAATCAGCTAAACTGCTGTTAAATACATGAAATTAACTATTTGGTTTGAACAATGTCATAAGAATGAAAGCAATGAGAAACAGTCCGAACTAAATGAGATAGTTGAATTAAAAAAAAACAACAGTTCAACTGAATTTACCGGATCCCCAGAATATTCGAATTCTCCACTTCTTGGGTGCGAGGCTGGCGACGCTTACCCTATACCGTACCGGTACCGGTACAGCATATAGATATATCTTTGCGCCCCAGCCATACACCAACCAACAACCAGGTTTCGCCTAAATTAGATGTCGTGTAGCCCCGCCCCTAACCCCCCCCCCCCACATGTTCAATCTATTAGTGACGTGCTTCTCTATGTTCCTGTTGAGATCTTACCTTCATATTGTCCACATCATCCACCTCTACCATGTTGTAGCTACTCAACTTCGGCCCTTGTTGGTCTGGTCTGTCATACTGAATGAGTACGCCACAAGCGCCCTTGTAAGATGACATACATTTTTAAAAAAAAATGTTTTAAAAAAGTGAAGGGCCGAGTGGAAGAAATGGTATTTCTAACACATAAACTTATGTACATTTTTTTTTTGATGAATGATAGTTACAGGAATGATGCAGGGGAAGTATTCGAATTTAAAGCCGGTCTTAACTCATTTTTGAAATATTATCCTTCAATAAATGCGTACCGGGTGCTGGTAGATATGCACGCATCAATCATACATTCTTATGCTTTCGCCATCATAAACACACACACACACACACAAACACTTAATGGAAATTCGGACATTTTCTTAGATGGACCATTGGTGATCCGAGTGCAAATCTTGACGGTTCGCAGGAAAATCTGGACATTATTTGCATTCTTGTTGTTGTTTTTTGTTTAAATTAAACCTTTGAATCCTATCTGGGTCTCTGAGTTAAAAATCCACACCCCGCTAGATCGAGATTTCGATGTCCCATACCTTACCGTAGATCAGCAGTGCGTACAGTTCGCTCGAATCGCCGGATCGAACAACTAGCGCTGAGATTTTAAAATCACTTTAGAGTAATTTAAGGGTTAAGTGTTATTTCCTGAAACACGGAAATGAATTGGACAACAAAAAAAAAGTACAAACGGACATCTTTCGGGAAATATTGGAAAGGTGAACATTTTTGGTCCCCTGTACATTTTGTCTACATACCGCATATTCATATATACTTGCGGCAAAAATTATGTTCCTAGAAATTCACGCAGTATAATCAGATGCTATTCAAATTCTAAATGAAATTCGAAACAAAGCGCTTAATTCTCAAACATTTGAAGTAACGTACATTTTAAAGAAATGGGTTCCCAGTAGGCTCACCTTTTTCACGCTGAGTTGAGATGGCTGACGAGGGACAAAATAATAACCCGACTGTTCGCCCTGTGATAAGAAGTCAAATTATTTTTTCCGGCATCAAAATAATCCGAATTCATAAGAAACTACTTTCCGACGACGAGTGGGTAGCGGTGCGGTTTTAGGGCATGGGAACCCCAGCAGTTTCCCAGAGCCTCACGCTTCTAGGGGCCTCACCCTTCTGCTATAACTTATAGGGGCTTTATGATACCCTTACTGTTGATGAGTTATAAAAGATCTTTTGGCGATCGAACTTGCTTAACAAGTGCAGTGAGAAGCACGTTGCCCCAAGTTTTTCATTTTTCAAATCAATTCCATTTCTTTTTGGTACTAGTTTTACAAACAGGTTCTTCCTTCAACATCGCCTATTTAAAAAATCGAAGGATTGGGGGTGGGTGAGGGAGGAAAAAAAGGGTGGGGGTGGGGCATGGGTTAAAAGGAATCATTGAGTTTTTCAAAAGGTGCAATTATGTTCATTAATTTTAAATTTATCCGAAGAAAGCTATAAGTCGTTTGAAATTCCAAAAGAAACCTCTCAGTCTACTTAAATTTTGGAGACCTTATTCTGCTTCAACTTCTCACATATGAATCACACATAAATATAAGATGGCTTTTGTAAATATCTCCTATATTATTAACATAATATTATGCTTTTCATAGATGCCTATATAACTCAGTATATATTGAGTTCTCACCAGCCATTTCTCAGATAACCCGCGGCATCTATTGAGTTCTCAGCAGCCATTTCTCAGATAACCCGCAGCATCTATTGAGTTCTCACTAGTCATTTCTCAGATAACCCTCAGCATTTATTGAGTCCTCACAAGTTTTTACGTTTTCCTGTAGCGCCATATGGATGTGTGGATATATACATATATCCATCCATCCATGTGGCGCTACAAGAAAACTTAATTATATTGTAATCTAATCAAATATGTTGCCCCCCTCCCATGGGAGCCTTCGATTTCTGGTCCCTCCTTGATGAAAGTGGATAGTAATTACAAAATATGCCTCTTGAAATGACAAAAATATTATTCTCTTAAGTTTGGTATATACATCAGCCATGGGTCACGGCTGAAATCCGTAGACTCATCCACAGGAGAGACCGCTAGTACAAGTGATTGAAGAAGAGGGGCTCGGTTGAACTGAAAGCCGAGGTACTGAGGCTCCACTGAGCCATCCAGCGCTTACTGCACAAATCTTACTGAAACTACCTGAACGTCATCTTCTCAGAGGAAGATACTCCGACCAAGGGTGTTAAGAACAAGCGCGTCTGGAGCTACGACAAGCACCAAAATTCCTCAAACACCGGAGTCTCCCCTCTGAGGTGGGATGGCCATTTGACCCAAAAGCACAGGCGGACATACTGAATCAGCAGTTCCAGTCGGTCTTTGGTGACGGTAGAGATTACTCGGAGGTTGAGCTCCTTCTGAAGATCAACATGATGAGCAGAGGCTACCCCGTCATGGAAGATATCCAGATTTCAGGGCAGGGTGTGCTTGCCCTCCTACAAACTATTAACCCCTACAAAGCATGTGGTCCTGACAACATCAAACCACGCGTGCTCAAAGAATTTGCCAAAGAAATCGCTAGATTCAAACTACAGATGCGCCTTTCTTGCTTTTACTGATGCAAACTGGTCTATGGTGTGCTCAAAGTCAGTTTTCTCGGTTTCTCCTCTTTCTACGCTGAGAAAAACAAGATCACAGAGTCTACCTTGTCCCATAGATGCCCTTAAATAATCAAGCATTAGTTTCATTTTGCTGTAAGTGTATAGATCTTTCGTAGCTGGCAATTAAAACTGCAATGGTTAGCATTATCTGAGTAGAGAAAACGAAGATTAGGAAAGACATTCTCATCTCCATACTGAATAATGAACTTTAGAAATTCTTCCAGTCGTGCTAGTTTTATGTTGGCACGACTTGACTGGAGCATTCTGCACTCCAAAATGTCTTCATACAGCTGTCCAGCCATTTCTCAGTTGATCCAGCATCTATTGAGTTCTGACGAGCCATTTCTCAGTTAATCTAGCATCTATTGAGTTCTGACCAGCCATTTCTCAGTTAATCCAGCATCTATTGAGTTCTGGCCAGACATTTTTCAGTTTAACCATCATCTGTTGAGTTCTGACCAGCAATTTCTCAGTTAATCCAGCATCTATTGAGTTCTCGCCAG